TTTCTCACTCCTCACAACTTTGAATGAGATTTTAAGAAAAATATGAGCATTGCATTTCCCCCCCCCCACCCAAATAAACCAGTCTTGATGAATAATACAACGAAGCAGGTTTGCACCGAAATTCAAGACATATTCCTCAACTAAAGCAAGAAGAATACTTAGTGGGTCAAGCAATTATTCACTTTTGAATAAGTGTTTAAACAAAATCATTGAGTATTTTGATGGAGATTTATTGTATTTCTTCTTTTGTGTATGAAAATGTAGGAATTTTCTTATTCAACTATTATACTGACAATAATAGTGCTTCCAGTCCTCTTTATATAAATTCTTCCGCGCCGATTATTAAGATGGTTCAGTATCCGCCATATATGATATTACATAACAAGTATGACCAAAGTACGGATCCTAGAGTCTTCAAGTGCGCTAGCATGTTAAAAAACAATAATTTTATTTTTTTAACAAAATTTCTGATGGAAACAAGAAAACGTGTTTAAATCTGAATTCTATTTTAATAATTAGCAGTTCCATGTTTTAAATTATTTATGTAATAATTTAAAGCAATTTCAAAGCTGTTTGGAATTTCTGTGACTTATTACCGCGGCGATACAATTTTCAGAAAATATAAGGGCTCTCAGAGTAGCAGTAAAGACGAATACATTAACAATACGCTGCATTGATCGTGTCTTTCAAATCTTATTCAATTACACTACGAATAAAGTAATTAGTTGTAGGTTACCTGGGGAAAACAAAATGTATCTGATTATCTTATTTGCATTTAATGAATTAATTAAATTGGGATTAGCTTTTACCTCCGCATATTTGTCCTCATATTAGTTGTGCAAGGAAACTGAACAAATTGCGAGTCCTATTTATTAAATCATTCTGTTTGGAATGAAACTCTCGCATTTAAACCGTTCTTATTTTGCCCTTTAAATGTCTCCAAAAACTTTTAAAGGGCAAATTTTTGTTGCCCGTCTATCTGGAGTATCTGTCATCGCAAACTTACAGAAAACTGAGTATTTTCTAAACCAAGGAACTTCTCAGAAGTTCTTTGCTTAAAATGCGGCATCAAAGGCCATGACCTCACACCAAATTTGCAATAAAACATTTTCTGCAAAATGCTATATGGGAAGAAAGAGAAAGCTGAGTGCAAGAAGGCAATGGGAACTAAAGCGGATTTTATTATCGTCAAGGAAAACAGCTGAAGTGAAAATGATCGCAGAAATAAAAGAGCATCTGCAAATTAAAATATTGACCATTACAATAAAAAGGAATTTCACAAATAAGTATTTATGTCAGTTAAGCCACTTTAATGGAGATGTAAATGCAACCTATCCTCTACAATGGTACCATCACTACAAATTCTAATCGAAAATTATGTGGTAGATTGGTAATGAAGTTAGGTGGTCCGTCTTTACTATTGTTCACCACAGTACAACATGCGGTACACCTAAAGAAAACTGAAGACACTTATGATACGGATTGTCTTACACCAAACAGCAAGCATATAGGCAGATGTGTCATGATTTGGGCAACCGTTACACTGTTTTCTGCAGGTCCCATTGTAATCCTGAAAGCAAGAGTAAGGCCAACTACTACGTCAAAATGTAAGCCTACAAGATCTATCCTAAAATGCAAATTTTCGCAGTTTCCTAGGAGATATAGTAGCTTTTTCCAGGATAATAATACTTCTATTCATGCAAGTTGGGTTTGTCCTCGCATGCACAATCCTCTGGCCTCACACCATTGAACTACAGCGATGTGTTTCAGAGAATAAAATTAAGAACCTTTAACCACTAACGGCATTTCTGCAGGTACATAACATAATTTGAGAATATTTTACAAAATGGTCCAATATTCCCTTACCATTATACATTATTTGTATAGTTCTGTTCTAGTCGAGTTCAGAAAGTATTAAATGCAAAAGGTAGTCAGTCCTATCCCCATGTTACTAAGCGGTGAGTGAATATTTGGTATTTCTGTTATTCTGATAACAGCCTGTATGTGTGTCTTTTTATTCTGTTTTGTTTTAATTTTATTTCTTCAAAACTTTATTCGCGGTCACAGTTTTTCTTTTGCTGATAGTATATCTAAGTTCAAATGTTTTCGGAATAATTATCATGACTTCAATCAAAATACAACAGCTCGTATTATAATTTTTCCATAATTCTATAGTCTTTCCTAAAGTTCAATGTGATAACATCAGTTGAACCTAAAACAATTCCTGCGAATCTTTTGGCTTTAACAATATAAAGAGAACTCCATTGTTATAAGTGATACATCAGATGTAGGTTAAGAATTTCTTATTGATAATGAAATTCAAATTTGCTCTACGAATGCAGACGAAGGAAACTGAAGGTCTTTCCATAGCGGGTTTTGAAACGATCTTCATTAATAAAAGTGCGACAAATGAAGGAGTGATAAAAGTAATTTTACTTTGAAACATTCGTTTTTTGTACACTCACAAGACAGCGTTCAGCACTTCTTTAAAACTACAAAGCATAACCTGATCCAAAATAATGTATGTCAGAGGCTACTTTATTTGATTCCTGTCTTGAAACGGAATTACGGGCTAAAAGAAATATTTAATCGTGCAATCTATTTGGATAACCCTGTATGTTAAACCTTCTGCAGTTGATTATAAGAAATTATCGAAATATTAGATTATTCAATTTGGCAAAACACACGAGGCAAGCTACGTAAACTATATCATGCTTTTGATCTGAAACACACCCGGGAATAAATTTTAAGGATCTCGTACTTTTTTTCCTTCTAATACCAAACTCTTTCAGAAGTCTTTAGATAGATTTTGAATATCTCAAACCCATAAGTGGAAATCACAAACGTGTAAGTCTTATCCGATATGCGAAATACAAGCTAATAAATTATCCTTCTCAGTTAAGAATATAGAATAGTTAATCGGAAGAACTTCAAGAAAATATGAAACTTTAACTATAGTTACTGAAGTAAACTATAAATTGCAGTCTAAATTAAGTGCAAAGGATAGATTGAAAAATGAAATATAAAATGTTAAATTTGCAATGTTATAAATTAACGCAAAATTTAATTTTATAGGGGAGCTCGTATTATAATTTTTCCATAATTCTCTAGTCTTTCATAAAGTTCAATGTGATAACATCAATTGAACCTAAAAGAATTCCTGCGAATCTTTTGGCTTTAACAATATGAAGAGTATTCTATTGTTATACCTGATACATCAGATGTAGATTAAGAATTTCCTCTTGTTGATAATGAAATTCAAATTTAATTTTAATTTAGTAAATTTAATAATGAATATTTTAGGTGAGGTAGAAAAACGATTGCTTAAAAGCTAATAAACGACTGGGGATGGATGAGGAGTAATAACTTATAAGTAATAATTAAAGTAATTGACAGTAAATAATCAAAAGCTCAAGGAATAGATTTAAACAAAAGCAATGTATATCATATAAATAAGATCGGAGAACTGTCAGACTTCTTGATTTCGTCGGGGATGGCAGACATTATTCAGAAAATTCAGACTTTTGTTCACATTTTTATATTAAGTACATAATTATATCGTTGTATAACATAATTACAAAATGCGAAAATTTAATAATAAATAATGTAATAGAGTCATAACATAGATATCATCCCTGAAATGTATGATTAATATCTGCTATCGCTAATGAAATAAAATTAGCTATACAGTTCTATAGCTTTCTGTATTTTTATGTTTACCTTTATTTTCTGACACTTTTTGTGCTTTATACGTACTGCTTATAATTATTTCTTAACTAGTCACATCCTTTTCTAGTTAGAAGCATTTTCTTTTCGTTCTGCTTAGTGATCCAAAACACTGTAGGAAATATTTATATTCTTTTTGACGCGGGAAAGTGAAATATCAACCATGTCATCGCCAGAATTCGAAACAGTGATTTTCCGCTTTGTCAAATGAGCATGTTAAACGCTTACACCACCAGAATACATGCAAAAAAATTTCATAATTATCTACATTCTCCCTCTCACTTAACAGATGACTGGGAAGAGATACCACAGGCAGTCGAACAAATCCAGGTGCTGATGAGTTGTTGCCACCATATTTTTAGTTCGCGTGCTACTGAAGAGACAATTAGGTTTTTCCGGAGCGAGAAATGTGAAAATTATGCCTTATCGGGATTCAAAACAAGAATCTTCTACTTTGTTAACCGGATGTGCTAGCCGCCTAAAATACGAGAGCATGCAGAGAGGTATGCGATAATTCTCTAAAACATCATAAAAAATTTAATATTTAATATTTTATTTTACAATTTATTGCTTATTTACAGTTTACAATTTATTATGTTTCAGTCTGTCTCTATGCATGCGTAAATTGTTATAAACACACACAGCACAAGAGACAGACCGTAAAAAATCTCACAGGAGATCTAATGAATTTTACATTAATGTTGGGTAAGTTTCTGTCAAAGAGAAGGTAACTATAGAACCCTTTCTTATCTCTTGTTTACTAATTTATTACTGTGTTATTTATAATTTAACTTTCTACCATTTTCCAGAAATAAATGTTATAATTTTGTGTAAATAATTAATTTGTGATAACATATGTTATTTATGTAACATCTATTATTATATATTTAACTGATTAATTTATGAGATTTATTATTGATGGATATATTAAAGCAAATAAGTTCTATGATGCTAATTAAAAAAGCTAATGAATTAAGAACTAATTTGTAAAGTCAAATACAGTAATGAAAATTATATATAAAGAAGACTGAATATTGAACTGTAAATAAATATCTTTAAAAAAAGTTTATTTGCCTGAATAATAAGAACTGACTAATTTCACGTAATACGGATATTTGTAATCACAGCAGACTGAAGAAGACGTTAATCGGCGAATCAAAATCCTTCTAAAATATTATATTAATTGATAATAAATGCATCGGCATACTAAAAATTGTTTATTTTTCATTTTAGAAGCTGTATAAAATAATTTTCAAAATAAAAACAAAACTCACCCGATAATACTTGCAGCCATCCGCATATATGAAACACAGTTGAGGAATGACAGACCAAAAATAAGAACATACATAGTATGCAGATTGCAATCGCAACTGCTGACAGACCTATAAAAATTGTAGCTACCCTGAATGCAGGGGATAGCATTGATCCAAAATCGTCTAATCTACCCTGACATACCAACTCCTGGCCGTCTTGGATGCTCTGGCGACAAGACTGCCATAAGCCGAAATATCCGGTGCCTCGACTATCAGGCGTATCACCAATCCACTGCGGTTGAATGAAAACAACAGCGTTAATAATGGCAAAACATATGGTAAATACCCCCCAAAGGACACCAATAGCTTTAGAATTTCTCATATAATTCGCGTGATATCCACTGGCTTCAGAATTGTACTCATATTTAGGATCCATCTTGCTGGTGGTTGAGTCTGAGACAAGTATGAAGACAGCTGTACGGTTATGGAGGCTACAAACCAGTCAGGCAGGTTTTCGTGAAACGGGAGGATTTCGTTTCATTCACGAGGTCACGAAACTTGATAGATTTCTTTTTTGATTTGTTTTTTACCACGCGTTTTCTTCCCCTCTCTCTTTCTTAAATCTTTTCAAAGAAAATAAGAAGGCTATGGAGGTGAGGTCGAAACAGTGTTTGCGCTTCACCGCGTAAGGTGATGATGAGTCGATTTGGAATGCTTAGAAGAATTCGACTGTTGAAATGCATTGCCCTTCGCCTTATTTTTCGAGACTTTTATTTTTGCTTTCATCTAGATACAGCATCAAACAAGTATCTTGTATTCTGTCCTAAAAATTTAAATTGATGATATCCTTCTACTTTCAATAACAGGTTTTATACTTTAGGAATTTCCCACTGTTTCAGAAAGCTGCGAGTTATTTTATTTACTAATTAATTAATTTCTTATTATATATTACATATATATGAGTATATAATCTTAAATTCACTTAGTCCCAATTTCAAAAAAATCTTTCCGTTTTTAAGAAATATTCTTTTAACTCCAGTTACTTAACAATTTTTTTCGTCTTTTAAACTAAATACGTTATTTTTCAATTATAACACTTCTCAGTATGCAATTGCAACAGATTCCGAAATTTGAAAGCCTATAAGAATATTCTATAAAAGCACAAGTAATAAACACATTTTAAAAGTAAGACATTTTTAACACATTTTATAAGTGTTCAGAAACAAAACAGCAGTTCTTAAAGCGTCAGAGTTATTGTTCCCTGAAATAAAATAATCTACGAAATAAGCTCAAAATATCGTTACGAATTTTTGTATTGTTGTAAATAATTTTATTGAAGTCATGCTTAAAATTGTAGTATCTTTTATATAATGTTTGAAAATCAGAACAGTCGAAACTCTGCCGGAAAAATAATATTACAGAGGCAAATCTATTTAATATTGAGGGAAGTGGCTAACTCGTTAAATTGGCGACACATCGCCAAACTGGCCATGGTTTTGGCAATTTATTTTTTCGCCAAATTTGGCGAAAATCGCCAAAAGTCGCCAAACTTGGCAACCTTTTGGCGACATATTGGTCCGGTCCCTGTATAACTGTAGTTGGTAATTGAATAACTGCAATTGACCCTATGCGTAACTGTAACCATATTCGGCCCTTATATGTAAATTTACCGCCTTTCAGTAATTTCGACAAATTGAAGGTTCTAGAGATTTCTCGGCGGTGGCGTAAAACTTTGCAAGCCCAGAAAGAGACGTCCGTTTCCGTTTTAACCGTAATCTTCTAATTCTGCAACGCTTTTGGTTATTAAGAAAGGTAAAGATTCTGCTTGGGTTACCCTGTTTGGCTTATTATCTCTTATCAGCTAAAAAACTTAAAGCAAATAACTCATATATTGTCAAATATTGTACAAAAAATAAAGAGAAAAATTTGCATTCAAGCACCATTAATTTCCAAAAAATTTTATGTTAATAACATACGAAAATTGCATTTAGAAGTGAAATGACAGAAAAATAAAAGTTTTTGAAGGAGAAGTTAAGAAACACACGTAGTAAAATATCAAAAGTAGAATATCTTTTATCCAAAATTATTGAAACAAAACCAATTTGCACAAAATATTTTTCCAGCTAAGCAATTGTTAATATCTTGACCAAGGAAAAAAAGCACGCAATTATTCAATGCATTACTTTCAAATTCACCGATACATCGAAAACATTTTTCATAAATTACGATAAAAAGTTTTCTTTTTAAGCTTTACATTATCTTTGAAAATACTGTAAAAGTTGTAATTTTTATTATTATTTCCATTATTATTTTTAGTCCAAAGGGACAATTTGCCTAGAAGGACTAGTAAATTTTATTTCGGCATTTTGCGTTGATTCACCAGAAACTTTGATTCACTTTTCAAATTGTTGCATCAAATATTAGAGCCCTGTATTATATTTAAAGAAATTAAATAATGAAGAATCTGCATAAATGTATGTATGTTTCTCGCCTTGTGATAAAACAACGGTACCTAAAGCCATCAAATTTTGAATAAGGTATACCCAAACATGGGCATCTGGAAGCACAAATTTGGAATTTGGAATTTGTTTTATTATATATTTCATATTTTGTAAAACTTTAACGCATATTTGTTTAACAAACTCAACTATTTCAAAGCGGGAATGGCAGTACTGTAAGGGGGAAAAAATTCTCCAGGGCGCGAGACTGTGTATGGGAAATTCTAAAGATATGCACATTTTAAAATTATTTTGCGATATTGCTGTTGAACTGAATTTTATAAAGTTTAAGTGCGAAGAACATGATATTCAATAAATAAAGGTGTAGAGTCATTAGGATTTTTTTAGAGGCAGAAAAGATGAAAAATAACAAAAGCCTTCGCCAGGAATCGAACCACGGGCTTCTGGAATACCGGCCCAGCGTGCAACCGTTACACTACGAAGATACGCTAAAGAAGTGGGAGAAATACCTTACATACTCCCCTTTTTAAAGGGCGACTAAGGTTTTAGGGAACCTAGTCGCCAAATCCTAGGTGCGGAGAATCATCATCCACAACCCTTTTAGTTCAGGCGCCACTTGTAGAGTCATTAGGATTTTTTTAGGGGCAGAAAAGATGAAAAATAACAAACGCCTTCGCCGGGAATCGAACCACGGGCCTCTGGAATACCGGCCCAGCGTGCTACCGTTACACTACGAAGGCACGCTAGGGAAGTGAGAGAAATAATTTGTGGAGAAGTGGGAGAAATAATGTTTTGTGTGTTACCCAAGGGTAACACACAAAACGTTAAAAAAGACCCCTTTGGGCGCAATGCAAAATCTGGATTTTAGCCGCCGCTTTCGTATCACCACTTGATACTTCTCCTGTAATCTGTATGTTATGAAGATTATTTCGTTGTTTAAATGTATTAAGAGCGTTTAATACCCCTTTCTCATGTCGATTTTTAATAACAGATGGCGCTACGAACGTTGAGCGATCAAATCTCTAAGACTACCTACAGCCTGGTTACTATGGCAACGAAGCTTCCCTTCCACTGTACTCGTTTGGCGGGAAAGTGAGTAAGCCATAAAACACTTCCCCTCAGTTGAACAAAAGACCTGCTGTCATTTCTTTCTTCCGTCTGTGACTCAGACTGCAGGGTATGTTTTGAACAGGAATAGATCTTTTCCACTTTTGTGTTGAATGAAAGATATCTGTGAGATACGTGCAGCAGTCGCTATTTCTTTTCGCAAAATTTGTTCATCACGCTTTTCAATGTTGCGTAATGTTTCATAATTTGCCGTTATTCTGCGGAAAAAAACAGTTTTTTAAAAATACTAGATTTTTAAGCATTTCGGTAATTTCATCGCGACATAAAAATTATATATAAATGATTTTATACTTGATGATATGTGTATACATATATAGCATGCACATAATATTCCATTTACTCATCCATCCATAATATTTCATAAATTACCATCCATAATATTCCATAAATATGTGTTAGCACTTTCCAGAGCTTTATATATATTTTTTACTTGTATTATAAAATCGTATAACACTCCTAACTATTATTTTTTTACTTCAAAAGTGGATAAATCATTATGAAATTTTTCTAGTACACGGAGAAATGGTCTATGTATCCATACACATAAACGTAGTAAAAGATACTATTCTTGATTGAATATCTTTGGCAGCAATATCAAGATGCAACGAAAATTCGAAATCAATTAATAACATGCATTTTATTACAAAAACACTAGCAGGACGTATTATTTGCACAAAAAACTTAGTGTGGAAATAATTTGCGGCACATTATCTGAGATCCGCTTTGAATAAAAACTACATAAAGTTTTATAATGAACAATCAGTTTCAAGATTTCACTTGATACTGAAATGCATAAAATCAAATTGCGTTTCTATGTTTCAGGTTTATAAAATACAGCTGATAATTGAAGGGGTAATGTACAAGTTGATAATACATGATAAGGGGGAAGAAATTCCTAAATTACAAAATTGAATATTATATTTTAGTAAAGTAAAATGATACATATTATAGATACATCCTAAAAAAACGATAATATTATATATATATATTGTATATATTATATATATATATATATATATATTATGTATTTATATGTATATGTACTCTTTTCCGGATGCAACTGTAATTACGTACTGAGCTGGTTTATCATCTTCCTGTAGCGATGCATTTGGATTTGATTTGCTGTGTATGAATTTGTTTCATTGAACAGGAACAAATAGGAAACAGAATATTGAAAATTGAATTTGTTTTAAAGCATTAGTAATTTATATATGTTAGATTGACTAAAAAGAGTATATTCATGCATAACGTATAAATAAGCGAAGTGAATACTTTTTGGCAATCACCTTTCTAGGATGATCATTTTTGAAAATAACCAGTACTGTTGATAACATAAACACCGGTACGATCTATCTGCCTAAGGGAAAGGATGCCTTCGTGGAAGACTTTCTAAGGGAAATTGACTCCTATATACACGTTACACAGGGTAAAACCACGAAAGCGCAGCCAGTCGGACCGAGCGAAATACTGGTGTTCAGCTACTTTACTGCTTCGTGCCTCATTTCAAAGCGGATTCGCTATATATGAAACAGAGCAATGTGCTGTTACCGTATTTAGCAGCCTGCCTTTTTCCTTGACCTACCATAAAAAAAATAAAATAGCAAAATTATAACAGCGTTTCTAAAAAGATGCTTTGCTATATTCTCATTAAATCTTTATCATTCTGCGCTACTAAAAACGAAGTACGATTATTTCAAATTCAAAATTTTATAACATTACTTTACAGAAAGTGATCTCATGTCTTCTAAAAATGAAATCCCACATCTGTTTCTATCCAAGCGCTTACTTTCTAGACAAAGTAATTTCAGTGTAACGTACGTTCAGTTTTATCTAACTTTGAACGATAAAAAAAAAAAAAAAAAAAAAAACTATGTACATAACAGGCAAAGATATT